TATATATATATATATATATATATTGCAACTGTATTGTTGTTTATTAGATATTTATTTGATAGCATATTTGGAGACTAAAAATCAAACTTAATCATTCGATCAAATTGAATTGACCACTGCTGAAGCGGACCAAATAGAGTGCCATTTTGTGATGAATGGCACTCGAGCTTCCACATACATGTGGTAATACAGCGGAGGATGACTAATTTAAATAACATGAAGGTGATCCACAGAGGTATCAGATTTGGGCTGTGTATGGCAGTAGCGCGGCGGAGCGGTGTACCGCTATTAATCACTGTTTGGGGGTGGCGGGAGAGGTGTGACGCGGTGCATTTTAGGTAAAATGCGGCCGCAGCTTCGATACTGCGCTGCATGTGTTTGTAGCATAAACTTGTTATAATAAAGTGCAGAAATTTTAAACGAATTGCAAAGAAAATTTGACACGAAGGAAACCAAAAATAAGTTTTCGGAAAAATAAAAGTAAAGCAAAATCCGTTGTCACATATGGAAGATCGAGACAAAGTATAAAACATTAGTAAATGGTGGGGGCTCAGAGTTTGAGCTGTGTGCTTTATTATCCGACACAGGTAAGGGCCACTGACATGCTTAAAAATGTGCTACTTTTATCTATATATTTTATGCTTATTTTTAATGATATTACAGTTTAATGGAATGTATTTGTTTGTTTTTTATTGGAGGCATAAAAGAGTTGAAGAAAAAAGAGCGAAAACAGAGCAAAATGGAGTCAAAGAGAGCAAAGGAGCACAAAGTGAACTGGCGCCTAGGCACTAGACTCGTACGTGAAAATAAAGAGCCAGAGGTCATGGCACCAGGATTAGGCGCTTTGGTGCCAAGTAGTTATATTGGGCTTTTAAAAGGTTAGCACCTAAGCGCCACAGATGAACGCCTAGGCGTCAGAATCGGTTTCGATTTTATGCATTTAATTTGGAAGAATTTGAAGAAGCAACTAACGATTTCAAAATGCAAAAAATCAAAATTTTCGAAATTCCCAAAATACCCAAAATACCCCTCATGACTTTAAAATTCCAAAACATCCCAAATCATTACAAACATCCTCAAAACAAATTATAGCCATCCATTGGGCCCAATTTGACCAAATTAACCAATTTTGAACAAAATCCTAATTTTACTCCTAAATGCCTAAAGTCTCCAAATCACTCCCAATTTCCACCAACTTGATTTCAAACTTTCACAATTTCAAATTCAAATCAAATTTCATCATTTCCCAACCCAATTGAAACCAAATTCAAGCCCATTTGAATCCAATTTCAAACTCAAATTCCAAGCCTAATTTAAAATCCCTAATTTGACTACATCCTTAAATCCAATCAAATTGAACCTCATAATTTCCCCAAATTTGAATCCTAAACTCTTCACAACATTCCCCTAGATCAATTTGAACCTTCAATTGGACTAGACCCAAGCTCAAACCAAACCTAAATCCAACCTAAATCAAAACCCCAATTTTGCCCCAAAATTCAAAACTTCCCAAATTAAACTCCATGTCCCCACAATTCCAACCCAATTGATACCCAAATTCCTCATGTCAATATTCTACACCAAATAAAACTTCCAATTGACCCAAATCCAAACCCAAGCAAAACCTAAACCCAAGTCTAAGCCAAAACCCTAATTTTGAGCCCAAGACTCAAATTAGCTTTAAACCTTTGGAATTAGCCCATGCCTATTCCATCATCTCTTGGTTAACCTCCTAGGGTGCTAATCAAATCATCTTAGACCACCTTAGGTGAGCCATGGACAAATAGTCCCCCAAATTGGGGGAATTTACCCTAAAAATGGCTAAACCAAAAGAAGATTTGCCACTAGCATTCCCAAGCCCTCGAGCCATCACCATTAAGCTTCTATGGATCCCCTGACCCAGCTAGTCACCAGCCTTGCCATGGCCAACCTGCCTGGTCACTGGAAAGCTTCAAACCAAGAGCCTCCTCCAACTTTTGGACCCAAAATTAAACCTCTCCAATGTGGCACTACCCCATTGGTGAGTTGCATCGCTCAACCCTTTACCTGAACAACTCTTTCCACCCTCTGGATTACTCTGCTGGCCACCATGGCCATGGCTACTTAAGCACCTCCTGCTCACGATCAATAGAGGAGATGATTCAATTCCTAAGGGAAACTCTGTCAAATTTCTTCCAGAGCTTCACCAAGTCATCGTAAGTGCAATCCAATCGTTTTTCAGTCATCTCCCTCACTGTCTGAGCCAAATTACTCCACCCAAAAATCACCCAAAACAGGACACTTTTCAATCATACCTTGAACCTCCACCAACCTACAAATTGATTCTCCTTTAAGCTTCCCCAGAACAAACGAAGAAGTTTCCCACTGAAACCCCAATACCTAAACCTCTATGCACCTAAGTTTAATCAAAGTCATGCCACATGCAGAAGGATTTCTTACACAGCCTCATTCTTAGCTCGAACCAACAGTTGGAGGAGGTGTGACTGCTCCCAACGAAGCTTCAGAACCATCCCAATTGAGGTCACACCTCTTGGGCTCAGGTATACAACAAAACACCCAAATTTGAGCTCGGTTTGGACCTTCGTGAAGAAGATCTTAATTTCATGTTTGATTAACCGTATGGATGTGTTTGTCTAGACTGGATGAAGGTTTAGGAACAATCCTCATGTAATTTGGTTGAGTATTGAGTAAGATATTATGTCTAGAAGGTGGACGGTTTACAGGTTAGGTTAGTTGGGGACGAAAACCCCAAGCCGTGGGATTGCAGAGTATTTTTTGGATGGCTAAGATCACACCGTACGAAAGATTGAAGCATAAAGTAAAAAAATAAAAATAAATACTGGATCATGACATGGAGCCACGTAGGTTGAGGTGGCAGCCACATGGATAAGTAAAAAAAAATAGGGCATTTTGATTTAATTAAATACTGAAACTTAAAAAAATCATAACTTGATGTAGAAAACTCATTAAAAAAAATAAAAATACCCTCGTGCTCAGTAAACAGAGGAGAAAATTATGAACTAAAAATCAAAATTTTCTTTTATATATTTTATTTTTAATCAATTAAATACCTCAGAACTTATTTTAATTATAAATAATGAAATAATAATAAAAAAATGTGAAATTTTGGGGATTCATTCTTTTCATATTTTGGGATGTTCTCTGATTTTTTCAAAGTCAGAGAACATCTCTAACATAGGAAACCCTAATTTTCAAGATAAATTACCATTATGTCCTTAAAATAAGTATAATAGATAAAATATAAATCTGAAAATTATAAAAATAGGTTTGGAAGGTTGGGGCCAAATTGAAGCTTAGAAAATAAAAAAAGTTCAAATAAAATACCCAACATTAGAAATAAAAAAAATTCAAATAAATACCAACTTGGGCCAAATTGATGCTTACCACTTCATGAGGCTCTTGTAAAAATTCCAAGACTATTAAAATTATTTTTGATAGAAAAATCAATTTTCTAAGTGAAAATGATTTTTTTAAAAATATTTATATAAATTAAAATAAAGATCAGAAAAATATAAAAAGTGGTTTGGGATGTTCCTTATGGCCACGGGCACCTAAGAAAATATAATTGGAGTTAAAAATAATTATTTTTTTTTGGCCTAATTTTCAATTTAAAAATTTATTAGAAATAAAATAAAAATGAGAAAATTACAAAATATTTTTTTTTGAGCTCTTTGAGGTCAAAAGGATTTATGAAAAATATTAAAAGAATTTTTATATAATAAAAATGCAATTTTCTATTTATTTATCATAGAATGTCCATTTAATAATTATAAAAAAAATAAAATATAATTAAACAAAAATCAATGAGTTTGTTCCCAGTGTTGATACACCTAAAAAATATAGTGTTTTTATACACATATTTATACAAATTTTTGAGATATTGCGCTTTAATGAAGGATATTTGTGTGACTTTCTTTCAAGTACAATTAAATGGACGAAAAATGCTAAAATGAGTGAAAAATGATCAAATTAGGAGCAAAAATGAAGAAAAGGGACAAAAATGAACTAGGGCGCCTAAGCGCCCAGGTTTGACGCCTAAGCACCAAAGGTTTCGTGCCTAAGTACCAGGTACTCCGTGCTTAAGAACCAGAAGTAGTTATTTGATGATTCATTGAATTTAGACAAATTTTTGAAGAGGAGTTTTTTGAAGAGGAAAATTTTTGAAGAGGAGTTTGAAGCAAACCTTGGTAAAAATGTGGGAAATATCCCATGGACACGAAAATTTATTCAATCTGATTTTGAGGAGGCAACTTCTAGAAGATTCGTTGAATGGAGACAGAATTAGAAGGGAGACCAAGACACCTTTTGGTTTTTTATTAAAGAAGCATTGGATCATCAAAGCCAATAGCCAGAGGCCAACCAACCATTAGATTTTACAGCCATCATCCATCCAAGCCACCACCGCCGTCGACCACTTTCTTTTCATTTTGAGTGTTTATGAGTGAAAGAAGAGAATTTAAAGGAACTTTAAGACATTTGGTGGAGAGGATTTGAGATAAGTGTTTATCTTTGTGACTACACTTGGTTTTAATTTAGATTTCTTGTTTGCGTGCATGATTTTTATGTTTAAATTCATGTGTGGTTGTGTTTTTTCCATGGATTCTGAGTAGTTTTCTTTATCTTTTTACTTAAAATGATAAGTGATTAAGTGTTGAAAGAAAGTTGTGTGAAGTATTAGGCTTCAATGTTGGAAGAAGTTATGATGATTTGAAACTTTGCACTTCATTTATTTCTTGATTTGGCCAATTAAGCTGTTAAAATCTATTGTGAAAACATGTAAGATCCGAGATTGTACTGTCTCACTCAACAAACGATTTAGAA